GTTGGGTTCTAACAATATTGTCAGTCGGGAAAAGATGCAATTGTTATCAATTAGTGGAGCATCCCGGGATGTTTGTAGATGGTAGAGATAGGTTTGGTGATGGATAAGCCGGTGAGTTTGTTTTTTCGGGTATCAACATTTTTGGGCGATGTGGTTTGGAGAACACCCACATGGTGAATGAGACTGTATACGTGCGTACGAGTGTGTGCATGTGTATGTGAGAGAGGAGAGTTTGGGTTATTTCGGTGATGAGGTGCAAACCCAATTATAACTCGGATACACACGCATCTAGAGATATATAAAAGCAATCTTAGGAACGACAGCGGAATGATATACAAACATTTCGCAAGCCGCGGACACGGCCAAGTGACAGCGCCGCTCGTAATTCACCGGGTCCGTATAGCCTAGGTGTTTTGTAGCACGTCTTTCTCAAGGAAGCCGCCCGAAGGAGATGCCACCGAATAAATCAGGCGGCTTGGCGCTGCGCCAATCACGTTGTTGTAGGAGGCTAAAAACTTAAATGCTAATACCGCTGCCACCGTCGCTCCTTCAATCCTCTAGCACCTCTTTTTGGGGGCGGCGGTAGCGGTGACGGCGGCGCGAATAAATAGACCAGACCCATCTCCATCGGATAGACCGCTTCCTGGGTATTTCTACCGTCTTTTCACCATCATCAACCATCGTTGCAACCATCCGAAAGTCCGTTAATTTATCGACGGTCGCATCTGTTACGTTCTCGTAATGTTTTCATAATTCATCGTTTAACAGGTGAAACTAGAAACCGAAGTGGGTCGAATAAAAATACTAATCCGCATTTCGTTTGAGAGAAGGAGAAACTCGCCGCAAAGATCTCTCCTTCTCTCTCTCTTTCTTTATATATTTTCCGTCCTTGTTCGATTGGGGGGATTCCCCCCGTCGATTGTTGCTAGCTGGTGGCATGCATTCTCATGGCCGGGCCCCGCCGCTGTCACTTCTGACATTCCCCGTTAAGTAACACCATCTGACACGTTCTCTGCGTTCCCTTCTCGGATAGCTCCAGACGCTGTCGCGACTCATCCCAGCTCAAATATCTGACGCTGATTGGCACTTGCCTTGCCACTTTTATCCCATTTTTGCTTCCCACCCAAACACACACACGCCAACGCACACAAATACACAACGGAGAGAACTAAGAACGAATCACCCAGCATACTCCACCATTTAAATACTCCCCAATTAGAATCCATCATCACAAAAGCAGTTCTAACTAATACTAAATACAACTACTTGTAACTATACTTGTCAAGTACTTTTTAACTACAATACGTTATTACTACAATACGATTTTTTTAGTATATGTGAAATTGTTACAATTCCTATAAGTACTTGCGTAAATACAAGTTATTTAACACACATTTTAATATACCAAGTATCTTGACAAGTAACACTTAGTTTGTAACTAATATTAGATTCGATTAAATCAATATACATATAGAAAACATATTGATCTAGTATAATACTTGTATAATAATATTACTTGTCATGTAACGCGTAGTGTGTATTTAACACTAGCTTGGATTAAATCAGTTCACTTGTAAGAATATATTAATCGACACTTGTAAAGTAACTTCTCATGTATTTGGTATTTCATATTTATAGTTGCGCTGATACAAGTTACTTGACATATTAATAATATATTATATAACTTGACTTGTATAATGATTATCAGATTAAATCACATCAATTAACTTATACAGAACATATCTATCAAATGCACAAAACTCAATACTTGTCAAGTAATTTCTCATGTAATCCGTGATTCATACATTTACATTTGCATAAGTATAAATTACTTGGCTTACTAATAATATAAAACTGAATTTAATCAATTAACTTTTACCGAACTAATCCATCAGAAATATACTAATTGATACTTGTCAAATTACTTCCAAGTAGTTGACAGTTGGTATATGTTTGTATTTGCGTAAATATAAGTTATTGAACTATTGAACTAAATTTGTATAAACTGAAAAAGACTAAAAGTAATGTAATAAATAAATTGCATACTTGCCAAGTAACTTGTGTTATTGCAAGTATTTATATTAAGTCATCATAACAACTGTTTTTTTCTCAATTTGTTGATACCATTTAATTACAAGTACTTCTGATGCACTTGCAAATTTGTGGTTGATATCCATGTAATATAGAAACTTCTTAACAAATACAAATAATGCCTGTTTTCTATACATTTATAAAAGTATAATTTGAAAGTAATGTAATTATATAACTACAATTCATCATAATTCCTTAAATACTATAACAGAGTTTGACTGTTTACAGTTTAATGTTATTTGTATAAAATAAATACGTTTAAAAATACATTGAATGAAACATTACTGCAATTCTGGCACTGACCGTTCGCAACTTATGCCAAACATAAATTACGTGCAAAGAAAGTAAACAATTTTCTTTTTTCAATTAAAAAAGTGATTTTTCAATTAATTTGTGCAAATTAACAAATTGAAAATTAAAATATAACAAATTGTTACTTGAATTATTGTAAAGCAATAAATATTAGAATAATAAAAGAAAAACGTTGATAATTTCATATAAATATGTGTTTAATTTTCGAAACGTGTTAAAACATATGGTTTATATTACATTACATAAGGAAATGCAGTTAGTAAGACTTTTATCATTTTTATAATTTTTTAAACATGTAAATTGTTCAAATTAAATAATAATATGTAATTTTTATAAATATTTATATAATAAGGAAGTGAGGATTGTTACAACTATTTTTTTCAATTAATTTTTGTTGTAGTTGAAAGTGCGGAAAACTTTGGTAAACTATATATTTTTTTTCTATGAGAATCGATCAATAATGCGGCCGTTTATGTTTTGACAGCGAAATATATATGAACTGTCGACACTGGTTTGTCAAGGAAATTTCGAAAGTAATTAATGATTCGAGCATTTTGTTTATCCTGAACGCATTTAGTTTCACTATTTTTTTCCCTCCAAACCCACCGAAATTAATCGAAGAGAGCAACAAAAAAAAAACAGGGAAAAACATCGTTTCTGTTAAAGGTCGGAAGTTCCAAATCGAATTACTTTCCTCAACCATATAATTAATAGTGTCATTAATTACAATCCAATAATTACAGAGAGGAAATACCGAAAAATTCTTCGTTTCGGATTATAAAAATTATGCAAATATTCCAAAAAAATAAGGAGCATAGAAATCCTCATTGTTTTCTTCTCTTTCACAAAACTAGGCCAGATGTAGGAAGAAAAAAAGAGCCGAAATACATGCATTTTGGCGCAACGTAAAACTGGATTAGTCACGGCCTCTAACATAATTCAAGTACAGATGTCTTAGCACATCTTGAACTACAAATTCTCAAAGAAAACCCGAAAATACACAAATTTGGTAGCATAGATTTAAATTTGCGAAAAAATTACGCAAAACTTTTGGCTTTTTATCAAATGTAGTATATTTTCTTTACACTTACGTGTATATAATATTTTTTTTAATATATTATTTTTGAAAGTGGAAATTAAATTGAGACGCGAAACGTCGTAAATTCGCGGCGGAGAGAACCGAAAAAGAATCATCGAAAATTTATCGCCAGTTGAAAGAGAGCGGATGGGAAATTAGTCGAAACGGTTCTAATTGAAACGGCAACATCTGAAAGGACATAAATATTTTGTGTCTTTTCTCATTTGTATTTATTTATTTATTTATTCTTTTTAATGTGAGAGGTAAACCATTAAAATAACCGTTTTTAATGCTGTTTATTTTCGTGTTAAGGACGTGTGTGATTAATGCTCATTCCTATTTAATGATTTTTATTACTCCAACTGTTTTTTTAAGTATCTTTCAACTATGTTTTTCCTATAGGAAATATACGTTTTTTTTCTTTTGATGATTAAATTAACACGTTTCTACACTAAATCAAATATTGTGATTAATTGCTCATTAGCACAATTATAAGTAGATCAACTTGTTTCTTCTTTGAACTAAATTATTACAAAAAAAAACTTATAATTATTAAATTGCATTTTTAACTAAATAAGACAAATCAATTAAATATCAAAAACTTTGTGTTTCTGTTAAAAAAAAAATTTGAAAAAGTTTTAAAACTTTCGGAAAATCTCAATAAATTCAAGGAAATTTAATATTAATACGTTTCAAAAATATATTTTTTAATTTCTAAAGAAATAAGTGGGCTTTATTTTTTCTTTAGATAAAACTTTCATTTTATAGATTATAAATTAGAAATATTCCAAAATGTTAATTAATGCAGGAAGCTAATAGTAATGTATTAAAAATGTATGTAAATATGTAGTTTATATACTTATTTTAAGACAGTTTAAAACCGCACTAATTGATAATCACAAATAAACCGTACAATACAAGGACTTGATTGTACAAAGTGGAAGAATGGACCATTTATGTACAAAAATCAGATTTTTTTTTTAAATTTTCAAACCGGATTATAGTGAATCCGAACTGAAGAAATCCGCACTATGCGAGGTATTAGTGCTTGTAAATGATTGTAATAAATCAAAGAATTTCTATAAAAAATTAAAATCTGTCTGTAATTTGAAAATAAGTAACGATATAAAGAAATAATAATGATAATATAAAGTTTAATTTATTTAGAAAACTGCAATTAATCAAATATTTTACTAGGAAAATGTTAATAATTAGAAAATATATTGAAGTATAAACATGTTCCAGAGATTATAATTGTATAAAAAATGTGTTCATTTGAATAATTTGCTTGCAAAGTTAAGTTTTTGCAGTTTTTGAATAGTTTTAATAATAATTATTTCAACAGTAAACAAAATCAATTGGTAATGTATTTAATATAATATAGTTGAGAGATGAAATATGAATGAAAGAATGAAGATGAAAGTGAAATGAAGATGTTGTTATGTTGAACGAGAGAACATTTTTTTTTGTAAGATCGTGTACGAGAAATATTAACATGTGTTTTTTCTTTTGTCTGCAGGTACTGTAAATGCGAACGGTGAGACGAAGAGACAGAGGACGTCGTACACGAGGTACCAAACGTTGGAGCTGGAGAAGGAGTTCCACTTCAATAGGTACCTGACCCGGCGGAGGCGCATCGAGATCGCCCACGCTCTGTGCCTCACCGAAAGGCAGATCAAAATTTGGTTCCAGAACCGTCGCATGAAATGGAAGAAGGAACACAAGATGGCCAGTATGAATATCGTTCCTTACCACATGTCCCCATACGGACACCCCTACCAATTTGACTTGCATCCTAGCCAGTTCGCACACCTAGCCACCTAGATCAAGTACATTAAGAAAACAACATGAAAAACAAAACAAAAAAAAACAAAAAAAAAACATATTTATAGGTATTATTTTTTTATTATTATTATTTTCTTATTATTATTATTACTTAATTATTTTTCTGCTCTTATTTATTTCTTCTTTCCAATTAACAAAAAATTCGACAAATTCGGAATTGAAACAGGGATACAAAATTTTAGATGTTTAGAGCTGCTTTACTTACTTACCATTGTTGTTGTTGTTGCTGTTATTGTTTTTGTCTCTTTCTTTTACTTTTTTTTATCTCTAAAAATTAATTCTCTTCCTCTCTCTCATCTCCCCAAAATGATGAAAGGCTTCTTCTCTCTCTCTCTGTTTACGTTTAGTTTATTTTCTTGTGTGAGTGTTGGTTTGGAGTACATCTGTAACGTTTTTACAGACTTCCATCTGGCCTCGCTTCAGGATGAGGGCTACGCATTCCACCAGGCCATGGGGATGGGAGGTATGGGGCCCATGCAGCGCGGCCTCTACGCCTGCGGTAGTCCCTACAGCTAGCCCTGGGCCGCCTATAACGGAGACTGCGGACCCTCGTAAACGGTCACCAATCGGATCTCAGCGCAGTCCCCGGCCTGCGGTCCCGCGGGCCAACGTTGGCCCTTCCAGCGTGGGCCCGCGCCGGATCGCAGGTTTCCCCATCCCCTAATTTACTTCTTTTTTTTTTATTTATTCTCTGCCCGACTTCAGCTAATAAATTAGTGCCAATGGACGTTCCGTGAGCAAATTGGTTCATCAATATAAATGATAATTATGAATGTAAAGAAAGAGCGGCATGAAACAAAAGTGTGATTTAAACTAAACGTTAAGTAAAAAAGTTAAATAAATAAATAAATGAAAACAAGTATACGGTAAAACGATAGATATCCTAGCTTTAGTGTAAATAAGTTAATAACTTAAAATTACTATTATTATATGAAAAATATGCGTAAAAAGTAAGTGAGCAACAAAAAAAATAAAATAATAATTCACGTAACATATTATGAAACTAAAATAAATAAGTATATTAGAAATTGTTCGAGGGAAGGAGGATATAAAGAGAGATGAAGCAAACCTATTATATTCTATTACTATGATTATACTATTTGTAAATATTAAACGTAAGCGAGTGAATGTATGTCCCCTTCTTCTAGATCTGTAAATACTATTATTGTGAATATTAGATATATTACCTCAAGCGATTATGTAACTAATCTAAGACTTTTTCTCTCTCTCTCTCTATTTCTCTCTTAAATATTTTTGTTTTTGTTTTTTTTTCAATAATTATTACCTGTTTATCCACGAATTCAGAGGGAGGAAAAACGGCCACCTGCGATAGTTCCTAATAAATACCTATTCTCGTTGGTTCTTTTATTTTTTTTATTATTATTATTTATATATAAATGTGTATATGTTTGTTTCTTCTTTTTAATGTTTATTGCCTTATATTTCGGAGAGATGATCGAAACAGGCGGTCCTTTTTCCTCCCAAACAAACAAACTAAAAGAAAAGTAAATAATTAAAATAAAATCATTACACCGTACTGAAGACGATTCAATATGTAAAGTTGTAATATATTGTGTATATTTAGCTCAAAAAAAATAATTGTTCCACATTCTCTGTTTCTTTTTATTATGATTATTACTATTATTATTATTATATGATTATTATTATTACTATTAATTAATTATTATTTATATGAACTACAAAAAAAATGATGATGATGAGATTTAAAAAAATAAAATAAATGATGAATCATATGTATTTGTACCCTTGTGTGTGTGCGAGTGAACTTTTTAGATTACAAATCGATTATTGAAGAACGAAACTATGAAATAAACTTGTTGTAATTGTCCATGCAATGATAAAGAAATAATAAAAGAAAAATGGAAGAAATATATTGAAAAAAAAATATGGTTTTATTGTTATTATTATTTCTTTCATACTGAAAGAGGTTTTCTTTTTTTACCTAGTTCTTTTGTTTTTTTTAGATGATTGGTGTCTGCGGTTTTGGAAAAAAAATGTAAATAGAAATGAACTTGTCTGTGCAATGGTAAATAATAAAATATTGAAAAGAAAACTTTCTTAATATTATTTATTTCGTAATGATTTAGTTTCTTTTTAGCTGTTTTTTTTTTGTTTAGAAAAAAGAAGTAGTAATTGTCTATAAAATGATAAAGATATAGTAAAAAAGACGAAGAAATAAGTATTGAAAAAAATATATATAAATTGGTAATTTCTTTTCTCTTTCTTCTCATTTTGATGATTGATGGTTTTGGAAAGAGCAAAAAAGGGAAAATGTTGTCTATGGTAAGGAAATAAATGTTTACTGGTATTATTAATAACAAAAGTTAATTCTTGGCTATTTTTTTTAGATGATTTAATTTGGAAAATGGAAAGAAGATATAATTGTCCATTCAATTATGAAGAAATAAGAAAAAAGTATAATGAAAATACAAAAAGTTCATTGGAAATATTTCTTTCTTCATGAAACAGTTTGTCTTTCACTTTTTGGTAATTCGTGTTGTTTTTTTATAAGCAAAATGGAAATATTGGGAGAAGTAAAACGTTCTGTGCGTTTTGTCCAATATATCGAGCTTTTACTTGAAACCTTATGCAAATGGTTCCAAACTGGCTAATCTTCAATTCCTGGGCGATATATGGCCGAATGGTTAAGTCGTCCTATCCACGATCCTGTGAACGCCGGTTCGAATCCTGGCCATGCCATCGTTCATCATAAATGGACAGTCAAATGAATGAGGTTCCGCATATGGACCTTTATCCTTCAGCCAAGTCGATGCAGATACACAGTTGAAGGAAATAGTGGAAAACCTCAATATACTACTGAAGTTAAACTACAAGACGATATTCAACCAACAAATGTTCAGTTCTTGGGCAATGGAATAAGTACTCGCATGCCGGACTCGACGATTTCCACAATTTTATCAACATATTCAACGATTGGCCTACCAGAGCATGTATCATCTTTGAGAACAGAACAGAAGCTTCGGAACCAACGCTTTGCTGTTGCATTCGATACTGTATTAGATCCATAAACAACACAAATTTTGGCCGCCTGCTCCGCTTTTCCCTTAGTCGTACTGGTACTGAAGAATTTCTTTTGGAACGCTCCAACACACAGTTAACTAAACACAAAACTGTCAAAGAACTTTTTTTTAAAGCGTTTAGTTGCCTTTAAGTCGCAGTATAGAATGACAAGATGCAATGTATACATCGTGAGACATTACTCTCTAAAGCCATCTAACGAAAAACGCTCAAAACTTTTTAATTCACCATAGCATATGTTGTAAAGACATGTTAATGATGAAAGTAATATGGTGAAAATAAATTATTAAGAAGTTCTTTTCAGTACTTTTTTTTTTCAATCAATAATGCTGTGATTTTGAAGAAAACAAGTAAAATAAATAGGAATTCTCTTTACAATAAATACATTTGAAAATTAAACACATTTTGTTTTGTATTGAAACAGGATTTTTTTTACCATTTTTGATGCAACAAATATATTATGAAATAATTGGACAAAATATATGTAAAATTATTACTATTTATTGATTTATTGAGAATTTTTTTGTAGATAATTGGTGATGAGGTTTCTGAGTTACTAGGAAATCAAAAAAGGAAACATCGTTAAATATAAAAAGTTAATTTATTTGAAAAAAAATGATTTCCTTTTCTCATTTCATTTTTTTTGCTGTGGTTTTGAAAAAGACAAGGAAAATGAAAACAGATGAAATTGTTTATAAAATGATAAAATAAAACAAGAAACATTAAAAAAAAATGAACGTTTATTGGAATTATTACTCTTGTAAAGAAAATTAATGTTTGTTTTTAGAAAAAGACATGCAAAATGGAAGTGACTTGTAATTGTTTGCAATGGTAAATAAAAAATGTAAAAATAAACACTTATTGATGTCTATTGCAGTTGCAGAGATATTTGAAAGAAGCATGAAAATATAGAAAAATGAAGAAACATTTCAAATTTGTTTAGAGGTTGTTCTTGGCTATTTTTTTTTTATATACGTGATGTTGTAATTTTGGCAAATACATGCGGAATGGAAATTTGTAATTGCCCATGCAAGAATGAAGAAACTCATTGATATATTTTTTCATTTTAGATAATTAATGCTGTTTCAGAATTGACTTAAAGATGCAAGATAGAAAAAAGTCCATCCAATGATGAATTAAATTAAAAAATGTATTTAAAAATAAATACTTATTGGTATTATTTGTTTCGTAATGAAAGATTTTTTTTTTTCACCTACTTTTTTGTTTGTAGATGATTAATGCTGCGGTTTCGGAGATGCCTAAAAGACATGCGAGATGGAAAGGAGATTTTGTGTGTGAGAGACAGAGAGAGAGAGAGAAAGATAGAGAGACAAAAGCTTGCAACGAAATATTTGAACTTGGTTTGAGGAGATTAATGATGCCCTTTTCCGAATGACATTTGATTATGAGTTTAATTCCGGTTTAAAGATCTCCGGAAAGTAGACGAATGTTGCACGTTTTGTAGAAAGAGAGACGAGGAAAACGGGAACTTCAATGTAAAACAAAAAAAAATGAGTATAAGAAAAGAATGAAAAGCCGGTGGAAGTTGGATTCCACAGCGTCCGAGCATATGGGAATGCTGAATGGGCACTTCTTCCACATAACTTCCACACGACTGTATGCAAATACCACTGTTCGGACATAAGACCTGGTGGTCAGACATCAAAATAATACAAGTCTTAAAGTCGTCTGTGTCACTCAAAGGAGCATTTACATATATAGGCGCGTTCCCATTTCACATAAATCTCGATCCAGTTCCAGATATTTATCGTGCCCGGTCAGTATTTATGTCCAAACCGAAACTGAATGCATATACGGATACCACTCACTAACAATCCTTTAATGAATATTTTCATTACGCTCCTTCGCTCATATTTTACGACCTCCGCATTACCATTCCTCTTCGAAATATGGATGTCCGTGTCCCGTCCGTGGCTCTAATGACTTCGGAGATCATATCTACATAAACGGACTACAGACCGTTCGGATAATAATAATACAAATAAAAGAAGTCAACTTTTGAAAACATCCAACGATAACAATTTCAAGAAATCAAAGAATACAATTTTGTTTAACAAAAATAAAGTCTAGTGTTTAGGACCAATAGAATTGACAGAATGGGGGTAAATTACCCCAAAATTTATCGGCAATGAGGACGTTCAGCAAAGTATCCATGAAAATTTATTCCTCCTACCGTTTTTATGGTATAAATTAATAAATTTTGGGGTAATAGTTAAAAATATAAACTATTAGCTTATTAATTCTACGACATTATTATTTTATCCATAAGAAATTGATTGATCTAAATAAAATCAAACTAAATTCATAAGCAATATTTTTAATTGATTACACATATTACTTTAACAGTAATAAGTACATTTCTTAAATAAAATCCTGACAAAAAAATCCTTGTTTTCTACTATCAGTATTTGGATTTAATTACTTCACAGATTGATTAAAATGACTTAAATCGTATTTAAATCATTATTTTATATCAAACTTTAAATAAAAATTAATGTTATTACATATTTTTTTGTATTATTTAATAAATACTAATAAAATGTTAAAACTTCTAATCTAATTAATATAATTTTAATATAACTTCAGGTTTAACTTCTTAAAATAAACATTGTAGGAAAATAAAGTAGAAAACATTATCAACTATAAAACTTTATAAGACTTTTTAATAATGCATACATTTTTATAATAAAAAATTAGATTTAATTTTATCATGATAACTTTATAAAAGCAGGTTAGTAATTTTTATTAAATATTTAAAGAAAAATATCTGTTATGTTTC